GACTACATTAAACTAAGAAGCTTCTGCACCTCAAAAGAAACAGTGACCAAAATACAGAGAGCCCACGGAATGGGAAAGAAAATTTACCCAATACCCATCTGATGGGCTGGAGCAATAGCACAGCGGTAGGGCGTTTGCCTTGCGCACAGCCCATCCGGTCGAGCCGGGTTCGATTCCTCTGCCTCTCTCGGAGAACCTGGCAAGATACCGAGATTATCTCGCCTGCACGGCAAAGCCTGGCGAGCTACCCGTGACATATTCGATATGCCAAACACAGTAACAAGTCTCACAATGCTACTGGGCCTGCTTGAGCACATCGATGAACAACGGGAGGACAGTGACAGTGACCCATCTGATAAGGGGTTAATATCCAGGATATAAAAGACACTGGTAAAATTATACAAGAAAAAAACCTCCAACCCCATCAAAAAAATGGAGAGTAGAAATGAACAGAAGCTTCCTCAAAAAAGCAGCACAAATGGCCATAAGGCACATGAAAAAATGCTCTACATCACTAATCATCAGAGAGATGCAAATCAAAACAACAATGACATATCTCATACCACAGAGACTAACATACACCAAAAAGAACAAAAACAACCAGTGCTGGTGCAGATATGGAGAGAAAGGAACTCTCTTTCATTGTTGGTGGGAATGCCGACTGGTCCAGCTTTTTTGGAAAACAATATGGTCATTCCTTCATAAATCAGATATTGAGCTTCCATATTATCCCACAATACCACTTCTGGGAATATATCCCGAGGGTTCAAACAAGCACACTATTACATCTGCACCTGTATATTCATTGCAGCACTGTTCACAATAGAGAGAATCTGGAAACAACCCCAGTGCCCGAGAACAGAGGACTGGTTAAAGAAACTTTAACATCTACACAATGGAATACTATACAGCTGTTAGGAAAGATGAAGTCATAAAATTTGCTTATAAGTGGGTGGTCATGGAGAGTATCATGCAAGTGAAATGAGTCAGAGAGGGATAGACGTAGGACTGCACTCATTTGTGGAATATAAAATAATATGAGACTGACACCCAAGGACAGTAGACACAAGGGCCAGGAATATTTCTCCATAGTTGGAAGACTGCCTCATGAGTTGAGGGAGAAGACAGCTGGAATAGAGAAGGGATCACTAAGTCAATGATGGTTGGAGGGATCTTTTGGGATGGTAGATGTGTGCTGAAAGTAGATAGAGAACCAAACCATAATGCCCCAAAGTAGAGAGAAAGTATGGGAAATTGTCTGCCATAGAGGCAGGGGGAGGGCTGGGATGGGGGGGGAGAGGGAGGGGGCGGAGGGATACTGTGGACATTGTTGGTGGAAAATGTGCACTGGTGGAGGGATGGTTGTTTGATCATTGTATGAATGAAACTCAAACGTGAAAGCTTCGCAACTGTATCTCACAATGACTCAATTAAATATATATATGACTATCAGTAAATATTGGTTCTTCCAATTAAAAAAATAACTTTGGGGCTGGAACGATAGCGTCTGCCTTGCACGCGGACAACCTGGGTTCAATTCCCAGCATCCCATATCCCCAAGCAACACCAGAAGTAATTCCTGAGTGCATGAGCCAGGAGTAACCCCTGTGCAACTCTGGGTGTGACCCAAAAAGCAAAAATAAAATAAAATTTAAAAAAATAACTTATTGGGAGATCAGTCTGTTATTAAGTTCAGTAAAATAAAGTTAAACCTGTAAAATGTGAATATAAGGAATACAGATGTATATTCTAAGAAAATGGATGGAGAATCGTGTGGAATAGTGCAGTTTTTGCAGACTATTGTCAATCTGCACAGTCCATGAAAATGCATGCTATTAAAATAATTTTATTTCATGTAAGCTTTGTCACATCTTGACCTTGAGAGCTTTATCCACAAGTGTGAAATTCTTAGTTTCTTGGTAATCTTTGTGTTTTAAATCCTATGCTGTTTTTCTAGAAATTGGAATTCTAAAGATAAAACTTTGTTTTCTGGTTAATTCCTAACGTGAAGCGAAATTCTGCTAAGTGTAATATATAAAATATTTAATTGAGGGAATTGTAAACCTTTTGGACATTATATAATGGATTAAATACTTTTGAAAGAGTATAATTTTGCAGTGTACAATTTTATCATGCTAAGTGAGGTTATGATTAGCAACTTGTTTCCAAACTTCTTGGGAGATCAGGCTGTATTAAGTTCAGTAAAATCAGATTAAACCTGTAAGATTATTCCTATAAGGAGTAAAGATGCATATTTTACATAAGGAAGATAAATCCTTATGTATCCTCAGTGTAAAAGAAAAAGGAATCATATTAAAATGATATTGGTTTAGAAATGGGATGAAGAAAAGTTACAGGACAGAACTGTGTAAAAAAAAAACGGTAAATTTGAGATTGTGGTTTAAGAAAAGAAACTATGATCAAACTGGATTGTTATAGAGATCTTTAAATTGTATCTGCAGAATTGTTCTAGTGTCTATTTTGGCAAGACCTCTGGAAAAGAGATGGCTGATCTGGACTCCTATTAGAGTGTTCTTACATAACTGGATTCTTAAAAAGGTTACAGGAAATAAAGGTTTTCAACATGGAACTAACTGAATTAAACATGTTATTAAACTGTATATTCTACCTCACAGATCTTACTGCTTCTTTTGACTAGGCTCCACAGCAAATGGGTAGATTGCATCTAGTGAGTAAAGTGAAATATTTGCTTTTCTCTGTACCTTCAGTATAGTTTTTGATGCTTTATGGCACTATGTTGGTCTGCATAAATCCAGATATAACGTTCCTCTCTGTAACAGGCCGACCCCTAAAGCAAATATGGGACCCCCCAAAGCCCTGTTCCAGAGAAACAGTTTAAAGGGGATTGGTTAAATGACAGGAATAGATCTAGTATTAATACAGATACACCTCAGGGAGACCCCAGAGTTTGGCAGGCAACAAGGAAGGTTGGAAATCATCTCTGCTATGGAAAGCAAGAAATCTGCAGATCTGCAATGACTGACCTGGGGCTGTGCCCTAATTGCAACAAGGAAAGTCACTGCAGTAGGGATTGTCCTCAGCCCCAAAGTGGGATATGGCTGCTGTTTGCCCTAGAGGCCCCAGAGCAAGACTGAAGAGGCCAGAGGCCACCATGCCGACGTGATCTTCAAATCTTAGGGCGAGGTCTAGGTAACCGTGAGGTGACAGGTATTATATTAATGTTGTTACTGCTGTGTCTCCTGCTCTGTCTTAGCCAATCCCCAGGACTTCTCAGTAAATAACAGGATACCCCAAATGGAGAGTTCTCCAATCTTGCTGAGTTTATGCAAAAGAATGAGTCAGGTTTAATAAGTCATCTGGCACATTTAAAGTGAAAGCGGAAAGAAAACTATGTTTCTGTAATTTGCCTTTTGTAGAAATCAGATTCTACTTCTATAAAGGTGATTGAATCAATGTATTCTAAAAAGCAGGCTTCATTTAAAAGATATCCCCCCTTTGGGTAATCCAGATAAAATTTCATTCACAGACTGTAGGTACGAGCACAGTCTATAAAAAAAAAACTCAAAGCTACACAGAGTAGAAGCCAGAGATTTACCAGGGAGAAACTCAGCTCAAAAGGCAGAATTAATTGCTCCAAGAGTAAACATCCAAACTGGTTCTAAGTATTTGTTCTTCATTCTAATGAGCACATAGTCATTTGGAGAGAAAAAGAACTTTTTATTTTATTTTTAATTGAATCACTATGAGATACACAGATACAAAGCTGTTCATGGTCGTGTTTCATTTCAATCATACAACGTTCCAACACCCATCCCTCCACCAGTGTACATTTCTCAACAATATTCCCCACCGCGCCCCTCCCCTCCCCCCCACTTTCTCTCTCTCCTCTTTCTTCCCTTTCCTCAAAAAACCTCCAAATAAAATCTGTTTTCTACTTCACTGCTCACCTACACCTGAAATTCTTTTCTGTGGGAAGGATAAAGGCCTGAAGGCTGGGTAAGGCCTAAGACTGTTTTTTTTTTTCCCTGCAAAGAGCAATTTTTCGCTCCAGACTAAGTCCCTGGCTCCCCAAGAAATCAGGTGCTGGGGATTAACTCTCGTGCCAAGAAGACTAAATGGACATCAGGTGTGGTTTAACAGCCAGCTCCTGGGGCTGGTGGGGCTCAGGGTCCGTGCAGGAGCTCCTGGTAGACTTCATCAGTCCCTGGGCTTGCAGCCGGTGACAGGGTTGCAGTCTCTCCTCTCCGCCTCGCACACGACACGTTCGGGAAGGTCCACCTACTTCAAAGGGACATCACTGACTGTGCCATCCTCCCCCTCTCCTCCCCTCCACAAAGCAGAGGGCCTAAGGTTTTTGTTGTTGTTGTTTTTTGTTTTCTTTTTTTGCTTTTTGGGTCACACCCGGAGATGCACAGGAGTTACTCCTGGTTCATGCACTCAGGAATTACTCCTGGCGGTGCTCGGGGGACCATATGGGATGCTGGGAATCGAAGCTTGGTCGGCTGCGTGCAAGGCAAACGCCCTACCCGCTGTGCTACCGCTCCAGCCCCAGGGCCTAAGTTTTGAAGTGCTGGTGTTCAGTACAGCTTTCAGGCACTTCCTTCCTCTGAGACGTTGGACAAACAACTCCCCTGACCTTCAATCTCCTACACTTTGGGGCCCGAGAGGCGCTTGCCTGGCATGAGTCCCCGACTCTGCGGAGCACAGTGATCTGAGCACTGCTGGTGGTCCTGGGGGAGCTGAGTAAGGCCCCCAAACCAAAACAAAGACCACCCACCCCAAAAAAGGAAATGTCAATTGCCATAAGAGCCGGGTGACCCATAAGACAAATACCATGAAACTAACGTTCAAGCTTCCCAGCGAGCCCCCCACGGGTCATCCCACGGAGAGGAATGAAGAGAGGCCGCTTCCCGATCGCGCGGTCCGGTTCCTCGGGAAAGCACCTCCCGCCGGGCCGTCGTCGGAACCAGCCCCGCGGGGAGTCGGGGGAGCCCCGCAAGGCCACGGCGCCCACCTACCCGGCTCCGAGGGCGTCTCCCCAGGGCGCCCGCGACCGCGCCCGCCGCAGGGCTGCGACCTCGGCTTCCAGGGCGCGGAGCTCCTCCCAACTGGCCTCCATGAAGCGGAGCTGTCACGGGCAGCCCCGCTCCTCCTGACCAGCGACCACCGGACCCGGCGAAGCGCTGGGCTTGGGCTCGGCGTCAGCCTCCGGCTATTCAAACCTCCCGCGCGGCGGCGCCCACCACGCCCCGGAAGTGCGCGTACCGGAAGTGAGTGTAGGGACTCGCTGTTTCTCCGCCGACTCACTACATCCTTCAAGTAGTCTCAAGGGTGTGGATGAACACAGTGGAGGAGACAGCCCTCTGGAGTGAGAGTTAGGAATTTGGGCGTGAGTTCTCTTGCGGAAGTTGGAAGGCGGTGGAGATATTACCGGGTCTCCAAAAGATGGGTAAAGAAAGAGCAGGAACACAGTGTGTCGGCGGAAGCTTAAGAGATGGGGTTGGAAATCGTACCGGACGAAAGGGCGAAGCGGACCTGTTTGGACACGTGACCGGAAGTCCGGCGGCGGATCGCTGCTCGTCCGGGGAATCCGCGTGGTGAGTAGTGATCGGGTCAGCTGCGTGGGAAATGACGGAAATATTCGCCCTGTCGGCAGTCTACCTTGTTTGGGGTCTTCTCGGAGGAGCTAGTCTGGCGTGGACCGGTTGGGGAAGGGAAGCCTGCATCAGGAAGAATGTAGGCCCTGCCTCACCCAGACCACAAACCACGTTTTGGGCTCCAAAACTGTCATGCGAGAGAGGGGGCTCGCTCTCAAGAGCCCGCAACTGGCACCTTGGGAAATCGGATGTCGTGCGTCAAATCTCAGTACCACTGGGGACCTAATCCCTAGATTATCACTGTATCGCTGTCATCCCGTTTTTCATCGATTTACCTGAGAGGGCGCCAGTAAACTCTCCATTGGTCCCAGCCCTGAGATTTTAGCAGCCTCTCCTTACTCGTCCTTCCCAGCGGGGCCGAATTGGAGGCCCTTTCAGGGTCAGGGGTATGAGACCCATTATTGTTAACTGTTTTTGGCATATCGAATAAACCACAGGGAGCTTGGCGGGCTGTGCCTATGATCCCTAGATTACATAGTTAATAATTAGAAAATCTGAAATGAGAGCTGAATTGTCATTCTAGCCTCATCGCTCACTTTCTGGGAAAGTGACTTAACCAACTCTCTTCCTCGTTTAAAAAAAAAAAAGTGAAGATAAATGACCGTGTTCAATGCTGGCACTTAGTGAAAGCGCACATCAGTATTAGCAGCAATTCCAGTTGCTTGTTTGGTGCATTCCAGATGGCAGAACGCCACTTTGTAGACACATGCTGGGACATGGTGTTCTAATTACAGCATTTGCCTTCTGTGTAACTGTGAAGAACTCCTGAATGGAGACCAGGCTTTTCATTTTTAGATTTTTGTCAGTCTGTGTACGTGCTATTACCGCCAGCGTCTGTAAAAGTGAATAATTGAATGAATGAAGAAAGTACCCAACAACATGGGCAAGTCAGTGAAGCGGGGTAGAATACAATAATGCCCTTTGGGGCAAAGCATCCACCTGTATCTGTGTCAAGAGATGTCAGTTACACTGTTCCAAAATTTAACATGGAGCTGTGAATGTAAGCCTTGAATTGAATCTCCAGGGATTAAAAACTGAAACACTATACAATAGGAAGTGAAGTACAAATCCTGGTGGCCAAATTGGCAGGGAAGATTTCTGGTGAAGAGTGGGTAGTTTGAGACTTGTTCTTCAAGCCCATGTTCTCCTTTGAACGTATATCTCGCTTGTCCGTATATCTCAGCTTTTTCCACGCAGAAGAACTCATGTTATCTCTTGACAGGTACTTCTCTTTCTCTCCCCTCATGGCTCTCTTAAGTAAGTTTCATTCAATAAAAGCTGTCTTGGGGCTGGACCAATAGCACAGTGGATAGAGTATTTGCCTTGCACACAGCTGACCTGGGTTCGAGCATCCCATATGGTCCCCTGAGCACCGCCAGTGGTAGTAAAAGTAAGTAAGTAAAGGCCCTCCTGTTGATCATCGATTTGCTCGAGCGGGCCCAGTAAAGTCTCCATTGGAGACTTTGTTGTTACTGTGTCTGGCATATCGAATACTCTCGGTAGCTTGCCGGGCTCTCCAAGAGGGACGGAGGAATCGAACTCAGGTCGGCCAAGAAAAAAAAAAAACCTGTCTTGGAGCTGGAGTGATAGCATAGCGGGTACGGCATTTGCTTTGCACGCAGCTGACCTGGGTTCGATTCCCAGCATTCCATATGGTTCCCCAGTACCACCAGGAGTCATTCCTGAGTGCAGAACCTGTGCATTTCCGGGTGTGACCCAAAAAGCAAAAAAATAAATAAACTGTCTTGCTTCACTATTTTACCTCCTCCTGAAATTCATTTCTGTGGGGAAAGAAGACAAAGCTAGAATGCCTGTGCTGAGGTTAGGGCTTCTTGATCTAATCCAAGCATTTCCCATTTCCAGGCAGGTGGGAAACACACTTGTCTTGAATTGAACCTCTGTGTCTTGCTCCCCATTTGTCCGAGCCACTGGCAATAGAACTGTGCAGTGCCAGGACTGAGCTGGGGTTCAGATTCTTATGTTCAAAGCATGCACCCAGTCCTTTGGGCCATCTTCTGATACAAGAGGTAGATTTGAATTCCAGCTCTGAAATGTCACAGTTGTGATCTGGAACAAGTTGCTACATTTTCTTAGCCTCTGTTTTCTTATTTGTTAAAGGAGAACAAAAATAGGTTTAAGACATCAGGGTTTGGGCTGGAGTAATAGTACAGCAGGTAGGGTGTTTGCCTTGCATGCAGCTAACCCGAGATCGATTCCCAGCATCCCATATGGTCCCCGAGGCACCGCCAGGAGTAATTCCTGAGTGCAAACCCAGGAGTAACCCCTGTGCATCGCTGGGTGTGACCCAAAAACCAAAAATAGATAATTTTAAAATAAAGAAATAAATAATGAGGGTTTGTTTGAATCGAGAAGAACTAATGGAAAAAAACTCTCCTCTTTAGATAGAAGATTGTTTCGGCCCCCCCTGCTGAATATAGGCCAGCCTTCATGAAAGCCAGCAGCGAACTGAAGCGCCTCTATGTAGGCGGCCTCGGCCACAACATTTCTGAAGCTGACCTCCAACAACAGTTTGGCAGATTCGGAGAAGTTTCTGATGTGGAGATCATTACACGCAAGGATGACCAAGGTAAAATCCATAGTCTTGAGGATAGATAAGGGTGGGTATAGCTCAGTTCAGCCTTCACAGAACATACCCTACCCTGTGACCTAGAGGTCTCTTATGGATGATTCTGAAGTGAAATAAATTTTTAATTTCCAACCGATTGGGGGAAAGGAAGGAGGTATGAGCCACACTTGGCAGTGCTTACTCCTGGCTCTGCACTCAGGGATCGCTCCTGGCATGGCTGGGAATCAAACCCAGGTCAGCTGCATGCAAGGAAGACACTGTACTTTGGCCCCAGGCAAGTATCTGATTTCTGAAATGTGTCATTTTTATTCATTTTCAGATTCTACTCTTCATGACATACTCTTCTAAATAGACTATTATACACATAAAATTGAATTATTTCTATTGGTTTTCTTTTTTCAGCTTTTTTTGCAGCTTTTGAATTTTGATTGCCACGGGTTTTTGTTTCTGTTTTTGTTTTTAAAACAGGCAGCCAAACCAGCAAGGGAGACCAAGTGTGGGAGAAAGGGGTGCGCCAGGGGGATGAAATTATGCTCTATTGGTAATAAAGCTCCAAGTTCATCCCATCATGGATTTCATAGTCCTCGGCGCCATATGGCCCTTGAAAACCATGTACCACTTCTTCAATGAAGTCCTTTCCAACAGGTGCCAGTCTGGGCGTCAGTCAGCTTAAGTTCCTCGATGGTGTCATTCACGTTGCACTTAAAACAGACCTTCTTGCCCAGATGGTTGTTAAAAGCATCCTCAGTTATTCTCTCTGACACTTGAATTACCTGGAACCTGCTGAGAACACCAATTCGACACCAGAGTGTGGAGCGTGGATTCAATACTTGAATTATTTTTTTAAATTTTTTTTCCCCTCGGAATATTTTGACAATCATGCCTAGAAAGAAAAATCCGAATTTTATATGTTCTTAAAAATAAATAGGACTTTTTTTGGCCTACGAAAAATTTAGTTTCAAAGAGATTTTTGAACTCTAAAAGCTTTATTTTATGCTTTTTTTTTTTCCAGATAAGATCTAACATGCACTCATTTATATTTTAGGAAACCCACAGAAAGTCTTTGCATATATCAACATCAGAGTTGCAGAAGCAGACCTGAAAAAGTGTAAGTGCACTGAATGTTGTTCGTATAATCTGTATAATCTATTGATTCATGTCATTTTGTTATTTGACCTAACTTTGATTTTATTTATTTAAGTAAATTATTTCCCCTTTCCTTCCCTTGACTATGATGAGCTGCACACTGGTTGCAGTGCTCTCATACTTGATGACCATTTTGATTGGGGGTAGAGGGTACACCTGGTATTGCTCGGGGGTAACTCCTGGCTCTGCACTCAGGAATCACTTCTGGCAGTGCTCGGGGCCATATGGGATGTCAGGGATCAAGTCCAGGTAGGCCGCATGCAAGGCAAGCATTCTCCCTGCCGTACTATTGCTTCCGTCCCTACAAGTGTACCCATTTTATTGCACCAAAGCTCTGACTTGATGTTGCTGATCACACTCCACCCGCGGAACAGCACTGGGGATCACACTCACCAGGCAGAATTGAGAGTCCTGAACCACACACCAGTGCCTACCACAGTGATTTTTAATTCTGAACCTCAACAACCACTTTTTTATTTCTTCATTTTTGTGGTGCCTGGTATCAGCCCCAGGGCATCACATATGCAAAGCATGAACTCTGCTACTAAGCCATATCCTAGGCCCTCAAGCAGCTACTTAAAAGTAACCCAAGGCAGGGCTGGAGCGATAGCTTAGCAGGTAGGGCATTTGCCTTGCATGCGGACGACCCAGGTTCGATTCCCAGCATCCCATATGGCCCCCTGAGCACCGCCAGGGGTAATTCCTGAGTGCAGAGCCAGGAGTAACCCC